TCCTTTTATATGTCTGCTTTAGTCTGCAACAGGCTAAAACATATTTCCTCATCTAACTTACAGACCCTCTTTAGGCCACATTGAGGTTACCAGAGTCTTCTCTTCTCCAGGCTGAACTACCCCAGCTCTCCCAACCTTAAACGAGAAAATGATCTACTTGATCTGAGTGTCTTTTTAGTCAGCTGTGCTTACAGAAAACCTATGTGCCAGGGCCTCTACCATATTGCATTTCAAAATACAACCTGGATCCCAGGTCTTCAGTCCATTGAGAGAAGGCAAGTCAGTATCTTCCCAGCAAAGCTGATTTAGGAATAAGGTTGGACATCCTCCATAACCCAAGCAGTTCCCATGATGCCCATGGAGAGTCCCCAGTCCTCTAATCCAAAAAGTTTTTGTTAATGGTTCTCCTTGAGCAGGGAAAGGCTTTGGAAGTGGGTAAAAATTAAGTTACACACTTCAGCACAGCTTAAGAAATTCACTCTTCTGACTCAGTGAAGATACAGCTCATATGCATAGAGTGGAGGAAAAAATGTGTTCTCTAGTTACAAGACCAATATCTTTCCATCTACTGCAGACAGATCCTTAACACCAGTCAAATTGATAGGAACTATTTCACTAATATAGTTGATTATGGTCAATAGTATGTATACTATGGATGACCCTCTTTTATAGGGAATGACATTAACAAATAAAAAAATCTAATTTCTACCCATAAATATCTAGCATTGTTCAAATCACTTGTGGGGAAGTATCCAACTAATAAAAATATAGAGGAAACATATATAATATGTTTCCTCAATTTAGACAGGAAAAAGCTGGGAAAGATCCAAGGCTGCACCAAAAAACCACCTTGTGATGGCTGGATAGCACTTAGTACAGGACCTGGAAAACACAATTTGTTGCAGTGCAGTTTTTCCTTCCTGTATGGGAATTTGAGGAGTCCCTTGCAGACTGCTTCCATGAAGTGTCCTGCATGAAACATTTCTTGCTGGTTATGCATCTGATTTGATCCACTGAGAGTCCGAGTATTGGTCATTTTCAACCAAGACTGTTTTTAATTTCTTCCATTCACTGATCCATAATAGAATACTTTAAAGTTCCCTTCTTGTCAGCTACAAAAAAAATGTTTTCTAAGTTTCAAATTGGGACAGAAATAATAATTAATTACATTTTTTTCCCCTTATACAAAACATTATAAAGCAGATGTTAGCACTTCCTTTTCAGAGGAGACTTATACTTGACATGCTTAAACAATGAATCTACCAACTCATTTACTCTTGTAGTTGCTATGAGGAAGGAAATGGGAGTAAGTATAATGAGACCCTTAGAGAAAGACATTTTGTGGTGATATATAAAACTAGGTTACAATATCACTGTTTCCTTGGGAACCCCTCATGTCTAGCGGAACTAAAAAAGAACAGATTAAAAAAGGTATAAAAAAACTATATTAATTACACTGCTGGTGTCAGTACACTTAGATGATTTACAGAAGCCACCAAAAGAAAGTATCACATACCTTTGATATACAATTAGAGTGAATTTTCATTTACAGATTTTGCAGTGAAGAACAATTCAAGAAGAGGATTGTAAACCAGGAATAGGAATATGGTTTTTTGAAGGATTGGTAGTGAGTTCAGAGTAAGAATTAAAAAGAACAGAAAGGACAGGAACCTGGAGATGCGTGAATGGCAAGGTCAGAATTAAAAATGAATGCTCCTTAAAAATAATTTTATTAAATGATCATACTACATGATAGTATGATCATTTGTTGGTTGATTATAAACTGCTGTTAACCCCATTACACTGGAGTAGGTAGGGGAGTTGGTGCTGTTCAATATGTCACCTGGGTAATGTAAATAATAGTAACAACATGAGGCAATTCTGTGCAGGCTGACAGGAACATGAACAAATAAGTTTTGTTTTCAATTGCAGAAAAATGTGAGGAATGATAGGTGGACCTGATTGTGAGAAAGGAAGGTAGAAGCTTAGAAAGGTCAAGTTGAACCATTTTTTTTCATTGTCATCAAGACAGGATGCCTTCTACCCTGAATCTGCTCTCTCTTTCCAAAAATCTGCTCTCTCTTTTCAAAATAGCTAGATAACATATGGGGATTACAGTTCCTGTCTCTGTATTTGTTTGTTTACAGTTACCCATCTAATGGTGGGGGATTTCGTGGAAACAAGGCAAATACCAAGGAGAAAAGAAAGCTCTTTAAATTCTACAGTAATGCTGAGGGCAAGTATTTGTCATTTGTGGATAAAACATCACAGGCACATTGAAATGAAGCAGGAACTGTAAATCCAGAGAGTTCAAAGGTAAATATCCATTGGAAAGAATCTCAGCTGAATGAGGCAATGCACAAAAAACTGTAGTGATGTCTTGCAACCAAAATTACAGCCTGAATACTGCTTGTGTTTATGGTTGAGGCATGGCATGAAATATTCTTGAGCCAACTGTGTAACCTGACAGGAATTACTACTTTCAATTGGTTTGGTTCTTTGTAATCATTCTTAGAAATGATTGAGTGATTTCTCTCATTCTTTGCTTCCCTGGGATAAAATGTATTTTCCAAAGGCTTCTGTACAGTTAATTCTTCCATTCAACATTCACAGATTGGTAATCTGATGACACATGGTTCTAAATTTCCTCTTCTTTTTGACTTCGATGCCAGATTTATCTAGTGCCTGGAAGAAACAAGGAATTCAGCCAGCTGGCTGGAATCCAGTCTGAAAGGTGAAGGTGATGTGAACTGGAGGAGCAGAATGCTTTCAGGACTGAATGAAAAGTTATACAGTATATTTTTAAAGATATCTGCTTAAATATAATACGCTTAGTGACTTACACAATGGTTTATGGTTTTTACCATAGGTATAAACAAGTTTACATAAAGAAATGGAGTGGTCTCCTTTAGCTGACTATGCCAGTGACATTTCTTAGAAAAAATTAAAATTCAATGAAAATATATGCCTGATAATAGCTAGAGATTATTGTTAAGACTTGCTTTACCACAGCAAACCTCTTATGTCCTTCTGACAATCTGTTCCTCCAGTATTTGTTTCCACAAAGGAATGGTGTTTTCACACGGAGGCAGAACTCTTTAGTTTGTGGACCTGCATCCTAGAATTTATTCTATGTGGAAAAAGAGCTAATGAGGACCACAATAGGTTCTGGAAGATAACTTTTTCCCAACTTTGCACCTGGATATAAATTAATGTCATGGCAGATAACAAATAATTCCAACTCCAAGACTATATGATCTGGGATAGGATTTCAAACTGCTCAAATTAAACCTTTAAAAATCACTTTATTATTGCTGTATACACTTCCATGTTCTCCAGCTCTGATGTTACGTCTCATAAAGTGAGACAACAGCAAGCAGTACTCTATTGACTCTTACAGAGTAAGAACATACAGTTTTGGATTGAATTGTTTCTTTTGGCATTCTTGGATAGAATATTTCCCATTTATTTGGTCTGAATGGCATTTTGGGTACTTTAGGATGCTTTTTCCAGAAATTATTTCTTGCCACAAAATGACTGCTCAGGTGGGGGGTTTAAAGGTAGCAGAAGAGTTTTGAGATGTTTATTTCACCATTACTTGGTGCTCATGTGGGAGGAGGACTTCTCCAGGCTTCTCTAATGGGTGTCACAATCTTGCTCTTCTGGGTGAGAGGAATCTGTCCAGACATAGGCTGGGGTAGATTTCACACCTTGCGTGGGGTGAAGGACACTCCAGCAGGAGCTTATGTGGGCGATGGTGAAGCAGCAGGTCTGGTGGGCTGGATTCGCACGGCTGAACGGTGATGCGGTTCCCGGCCCGGCGCACACGCCGCGGCTCCCTCGGTGTTGCTCTGCGGTTCTCTGCCCGAACTGCGGACCGTGCCGTGGGGCCTACGAGGGGACGGGGATATGGGTGCTCTGCCGCCCTCCCGGGCGGCTCCCCCTCGCCTTTCCCTCTGCCTCCATTTCCTCCTCCCGGGGCCGGCGCTCCCCCGCTCCAGACCCTCCTCCCAGGGGCTGCGCTCGGGGACCGGCGGGGCCGAGCGGGTGCCCCTGTCCGGCCGCCCTGCGGGAGGCAGGGCCCGCGGGAGCGGCGGGAGATGCGGGAGCGGCGGCCGCGCAGCATCTCCCCGCCTCCCCCCTCACCCCCCCGCGGCCGCCGGGCTCGGTCCTCCCAGCGCGTCGGCGGCGCCTTGGCTCCTCCTTGTCCTTCCTCGCGTGATTTTTATCGCGTCCATTTCTTGTGCGGGAATAAATAAATAAATAAGGGCAGCTGCCGCCTGCCGCCCGCCGCCCCCCGCCGCCAGCCCGCGCGGCGCCGCTAGGGGCGGCAGCCGGGCCCCGCATCGCCCCGCGCCGCTCGGCTCAGGAGAGGGAGGCAGCGGGGCGATGCGGAGCCCCCTCCCGTGACTCCGGCTCTCCGCCATGCCATGGGTTAGGCGGACTCCATCCCGCAGCCGAGAGGGCTCCAGCCAAGCGAAGCGGCGGCAGGAAGCGGCGCGGTCCGGCAGAGGAGCGGCGGGAGGCGGCAGCGGCGGGAGGCGAGCGCGGCGCCCCGCGGCCCCTTCCATGGACGGCGGCGAGGAATTATGAGCCGCGGCCGGCGGCCGGGACTGGCGCTCGCCCGCTCGGGCTTCCCCCGCTGCGCGCCCCGGGGCGCCGGGGCTCCGCTCTCGTACGGCACCCCCTTCGGCCCCCCCGGCACTCGCTGCTCCCGTCTCCTGACCCCCCCCGACGCTCTCTCCGTCCCCCCTCTCCCTGCCTGGCGCTCGGGGTTGGGATAATCTCGCTCGCACCCAAACCAGAGCGCTCCCGCGGCTAATCCTGCCCTCTCCCCTCTGCCTCCCCACCCCGCCCCCGGCCCTTCCTCTCCCGGCGCTGCCCTCTCCCCTCCCCGCTCCCCCTGCTCGCCCCCTGGGGCCCCTCCGTCCCCGTCCTCCCGCTGCCGCCGGCGGTCCGGCGGGTGGGTGCGAGGTCGGGGCTGCCGGGCACCCCGCCCCTCCCCGGCGGGGCCGTCACTAGGCTGCCGGTTGATTACAGGGTATTGATTTGTATGTGCTTCTCCCGGCGCCGGCCGCTCCCGCTGGTGCTGCCGGAGTTCGGGCAGCGCTTCTCGTAGCGGCGGCGGCAGCTCCCACCAAACATGTCGGCTCCCGCCGGGCCCCGGAGCGGCCCCACCGCTCCTCAGCCTCCTCCGGCCCCGCAGCCCGAGATGCCGGACCTCAGCCACCTCACGGAGGAAGAGCGGAAGATCATCCTGGCCGTCATGGACCGCCAGAAGAAGGAAGAGGAGAAGGAGCAATCCGTGCTCAAGTAAGGGCGGGCGCATCCCTTTCTCGTTCTCCCGGCCGCGGAACTCTCTCCTCTGGCCCCGGGGGCGGCACGGCCAGGGCGGGAGAGAGGAGTCGGGCGGCCGGGGTCGGGCAGGGGTGCTCGGCGCCGGGCGAGTGTGGGGCACGGCGGGAGGGACCCGCGGGAGCGGCCGGGGAGGCGGCAACGCTCCGTGCCTGCCTCAGCCGCGCTCCGCGGGGCGGCTCCGGCTCGCACGCCCCGGCGCCGGCGGGAGCCGGGCGCCAAACATGGCCGCACAGGTGCCGTCCTCACCCGGCGTGTTCCACCGGGAGGACGGGGGTGGGTCGGGGCGGCGGTCGGCGCCGCCGGAGGGGGCGGACCGGCAGCATCGGGCCCGGTGCCGGGGGCGCGGCGGGCTCCGCGCTGGCGGCGGCGGCGCTGCCGGGCGGAGCGGCACTGCCGGGGCCTGGGCTCCGGCCGCCTGGCTGGGTGGGTTTGCCACAGCCGCCATCTTCCCCCGACAACGTGTCTGCCGCCCGCCCCCGCCCCGCTGCTCTTTCCAAGCGTGAGCCCCGGCGCCGGGCAAAGCGGGACGCCTTCCGCCTGCCCGTGGGGGCAGCCACGGCCCCGGCCCGGCCCCGGCCCCGGCACCAGCAAGAGCTGTCCGGAGCGACCCGGCTCCGGCTCTGGGAGCCAGCTGTCCACAATCCCCGGCCCCGCTCTGCACCGGGAGCTGTGCACGGCCCCCCGGCCCCGCTCGGCACCGGGAGCTGTCCGCGGCCCCCCGGCTCTGCACCGGGAGTGTCCGCGGCCCCCCGGCCCCGCTCGGCACCGGGAGCTGTCCATGGTTCCCCGGCTCTGCACCGGGAGCTGTCCGCGGCCCCCCGCCTCGGCACCGGGAGCTGTCCATGGTTCCCCGGCTCTGCACCGGGAGCTGTGCACGGCCCCCCGGCCCCGCTCGGCACCGGGAGCTGTCCATGGTTCCCCGGCTCTGCACCGGGAGCTGTCCATGGTTCCCCGGCCCCGCTCGGCACCGGGAGCTGTCCATGGTTCCCCGGCTCTGCACCGGGAGCTGTCCATGGTTCCCCGGCCCCGCTCAGCACCGGGAGCTGTCCGCGGCCCCCCGGCCCCGCTCTGCACCGGGAGCTGTCCGCGGCCCCCCGGCTCTGCACCGGGAGCTGTCCGCGGTCCCCCAGCTCTGCACCGGGAGTGTCCGCGGCCCCCCGGCTCGGCACCGGGAGTGTCCGGGCACGGGAGCGGGGCCCGGGGGAGCGCGAGCTTTCCCCGTGCGCTGTGCCCCGTTCCCGGGGTGACTCCGGTCTCCTTGCAGGGGGTCCCGCTGCCGTGGGTCACGCCCTTCCCCCGTCGGCTGGCAGACACTGAGTAAAGTAGAGAAAACTGTTCTCCCTTAGTGATGGAGTAATCACGCTGACTGCTAGTGACTTAAAAATAAGCGAAGCTACTGCTGTCGTGAACGTGACTTTGATGAGTGTGGTGAAGATGAAGCTCTAAGCTCTAAGCGTTTTTTTTTTTGTACCACAATTAGCGTTGTGTCTTAGGCAAGTTGATTGCAGCTGGCCTTTCACACTCAGCACCTGGAAGCTGTCTTCTGGGCTTTAGTTGCTGACTTTGGAAGTCCGTTTCCAAGAGTCATTGCATTATTATTAGCATCATACTGAAAACTTCAAATATAATTTGTGTGGCAACTCCTAAATATTGAGGAGATCTAAAACTATTTCAAAGTCTGTTTAAAAAGGTTTTTTGTTGGTCAAACATTCTGAAGCACGTCAGTGTAATGTGAGCACTGGAAATAAAGTACCATACCTTCTTCTGTCACCACATTTTAGTCTCTCTACAGTTTGCTATTGGGATACTTTTATTTTGAAACAATTTAAATTGTTTTATTAAGTTGCATGATATATCAAAATAAATGACAATTTTTGCTAACATTTCTGCACTCTGTTTAAAAATCATTAACAGAAATGGAAATTGAAGTTGGAAGCTGCAGGAATTCAAGGAATTAAGTTTGCATTTTAAATATATAATAATAGCAAAAAAATTTTAAAGAAGGCTCCTGTTAATTTTGCTGTGGATATTTATGATAAAATATAAAGTAAAATATCAGTACAATACTAGGATCAGCTTGAATGGTTAAGCTTGCAAATGAAGAATAAACTGTTCTCAAGTAATGGTAAGGTAAAACTAACTTAAGAAATGAAGCAGAATTGTTTTAATTTGTGATATTGAGACTCTTGGAAGCAGACAATAGGCAAAAAAAAAGGTCTTGATCAAATCTAAAGATAAAATTTATATGAGGTTTAGTTTCTTGCTATGTCTCACTAAAAGTGTCCTCTTGAGTTCTGTGTAAGCTGCGAGGGAGATGGTAAGGTGTAAAGTTTATATATAAAGGATAGCCTAAAGCAGTGCTATTAGGAAAATGGAATTTGAATAGATGGCTAACAATATTTTGGAGGATACTGAGAAGTGAGCTGGTGTCAGATGAATAACTCATCAGTTTCATTTTTCTTAAAATGAAGTGTCTCCTTGAACCATCAGGTACATGTTTATTCTAAAAATATCTACAGATTTATCAAGCGCAACTCTCCACCAAAGTCATACCAGCATCTTTATGTAGATATTACTGAGTTTCATTCTCTTGAGAGATATTTTCCTTCTGTCAAAAGAAGAGAAAGAATAAAAAAACCCTCCCATGTTTATATGAATGAATTACTGTTATTGCATAGAGATAAATATAGAGCTAAATACTGCAGTCTTTGTTCAAGTGTAATTCTCCTCGAAGGCAAGCTTCTTTTGAAGTGGAAGGTATTTTTGCCTCAGCAGTAAATTTGTGTCATTTCATTCTGTAGAGAAATATAGCAGGATTAAAAAAACACTGAAAACAAAAGTTGACATTTAGAGATATTAACACAAGAACTGTTCAAATGTTGAAGGAAGCAGCAAGCATGTGTTCCCTCTATTTATTTTTATAAATAATTTATGGTGATTGAGTGTCAGTATGAATGACTAGTCCCTGGGCTCTACTTCCTTTCTCCATTCTGTTTCTATCTTGTGTTTTTCAAATTCTTATGCTGTTCCCATCACTGTGGTATTTGAGCATTTTCCAAAAGAGCATTAAGTAGTGTGACTCACATCTGTAATGTGGACTATTTATTCTTTTCCTTTCACTCCCTGGGGTAAAGATGTGTGGATTTAAAATAGATACATAATTTCTCCTTATGCTTGTTTTACTCTTTCTGGGGAAAGGAAATACAGATGGTATTGAGTTGTAATCTGTAGCAACTAATAGTGATCGGGTCAGCATGAATTCTTGCCAGGATTTGATGGAACATGATGGCATGGAAAGCAGAAGCTTTCCAGATTTGCTCTGTCCTCTGGCCTGGTTTGGTCTGTGAAATACGCTGAGCTACAGTTGTGCACTGTGTTCCTGAGGTGGAACTTTTGCTTCAAAAAAGACAGGTGGCAAACTTTGCTGCTTTGACTGTCTCTCTTCTGGAATTTTTGGGACCCATGGAGTGTATTTTGAACATTATGGGCTAAGAAGTTGTCTTTTTGACAAGGTTACTGAATATATATTTTGCATAAAAATTAATATGCATAATGCATGACAGAGTGAATTTATGTCTGTACTCTGGGTGTAAGTCTTTGCTGTTTAAAGAATATTTACATATTTTCAACTTTTTTCTTTGTGGGTATTTTACTGACTTGGATAGAGGTTAGAATTAGTGATGATCACTTTTCCTTTAAATTATGTGCATCCTTCCTCTGGTTTTTTGTGTGTAAGCTTTTTAACAGATTTTAGACTAGCACATTTCCTCCATACAGACTGATTTATGCAATCAGTCTTGTGCTTTTTAAATTTTAATTTGTACTTTATTTCTTGATCAAAGAATTGTGTTGAGAGAATGCACACAGGAAAAAAAATTGGTTTTTGGGTTGTTGCCTTTTTTTTTTAGGCTTTTTTTTTTTTTTGTGTGATGCACATCTACACTTTCCTACTTGAAATATCATGAGTTTTCAGATCTTTTGCTGAGCAATTCTAAAGATAAAATGTTCTCCTCATAAAGTCAGATTCATAGCTCTGAAAAGACATATATTTCAACTTTTCATGAGAGTCTGGCCCAGTAGTAGACAAATTTTCCCAAGATAATTTTTTTTAAATGAAATCACCCAACTTTTCATACATTTGCAAAGAAACACAGGTTTACCATGAGGTCCTTGTAAAAGATTTCAAAGTATGTGGCTTTGTCAGCTGATTTATTTAAGAAAGGTGGATATATAGTGGGCTAGCTAGAGATGGTAGCTCTCTGTCAACCACCACTGTCAAGCCCAGAGTGAACTTTAGGAAGGTACATCTGACTGCAGGCTCAGTTACTGTGGTGGTGACTGCACAGACATTGTAAAAATGGGGTGGCTACACTGCATGAAACAAAAGCTCTGACAAGCAAACCTCAAGGAGGCTGGGCTTTGTGAGCTCTGTATGACACTGTGAGTGAGTGGGGTGTGGGACAGGATGCTCATCTGGGGAAGAGGAAGCAATAGATTGTTGGGCGTGACTCACAGAACAGTAAATGTCAGGCTTACAGAGCTATTCACTATTTTATAAATAATTATCCTACTTAATAAATAATCAGCTCTGACTTACACTGTCTTAAAAGCATTGTATGTTTTGGATTTGGATTTCAAAGCTGGAGAAAAGAAGGAGAGAGAAGATATATGTGGTGATTATTGATTTTGCTTTTGGAAAATGGAGATATGTATAGGAATTCTGGAGTTTCCAGAGTAAAAGGCAGAAAGATTTGCTTTTGACTAAATAGTAAACTAGGACTCCAGGCAAAGTTAGCTATGTTATGCTTCCATAATTTTACACTGCATTTTGTCTGAATTTTGAGTGCTAATTAGAACAGTTCATTGCTACACCACTTGTAATTTTGCTCTTGTTTCTACATATTATAAAATCAAATATGGTCCAAGTGACTTTAAAAGTAATAACTTTGTGCAGT